ACCCGCGGGTCCTATTCTAGTAATATATAATAACCAACAAAAAAAATTGTAATTCAATAACTAAGGGAAATTAGCACTAATAAGTAATAACTAACTAATTCACTAATAAGAAATGAGATAACTAAGTAATAACATATTGATTCATGCATTGAAAAGAAATGGTGTTCCAAAGATGAGTGAAGGGAGTCAAGAGTGAGATTGTGAAGTTTTGTCAGAACTTGGTTTAGAATATCCCATTTGATTTCAGGTATTAAAATGGGTCTACCTCTTGGTGACGTGTTTCTTAAGTCATCTTTTAGGGTGAGAAATGGTTACTTTCTACCATAGGAGCCATCTTTTAAAAAACTAAGTTATCTTAAAGGAATCTTTGGTCATCTGGATTTTCATGGGCTCTTTGAAAACTATCTTTATCTACGTGTTAAGAATGTCTTAAGTTCTCTGTTAACCAAAAGTCGTCCCATTTTGCAGTTCTTTTTGGTAAGTTACATGTCATAGATCTTCTTCAAGCATACTATTTGAAGAAAGTTTTGAGACGAAAAAGACAGTTTCAAAGAATGCAATATGGAGAATTATATAACAAAGCAGAAGATTGCAGAGACTTAATATGATGGTATGATGCTTCTTCGTCTCCTAGACATTCAATATATTCAACACTTCAAATAAAGACCTCAATTGTATCGCTAACACGTTGCCATGGAATTGACCTGTCATCATCATCCATTACATTCTGCTTGTATATTAACGAAAATGCTCTTCTTGTGGCAGACTTAAGGTGAATAAATATATTCAAGGGTGGAAAGTTTGTTACAAAAGCTAGCCACACTTGGCTTATGTTCTCAGACAAAAACACACAAAAGCTTTCACTAAACCCTATAACAAGGAATGATTCCTCCATGATCCAAAAATTCGAATAACGCTAAGCACCAATCACATTGCCCTGCTTCTAGAAGACCACAATGCAGTTCCAAATGTAATCATATGATCTAAATGAGTTGATAAGACATTGTAACCTAGGCCTCTCAAAGACTCTGCAACCCTCTCGAACCTCGCGTCTTTGAAAGATTCTGCGATTACTATCAAACTTGTTGTTTCATCGCAATTCCTCCTTGCAAACAAAAGCATGTCTGCTAAAAGCCTAGTAACTTTTGTAGATTTTTTCTCTAGCATAACAAAATCAACGGATATCTATTAGAGGCAT